TTCCTTCTCCACCGTTCTGGTTGCCGGTTCTCTACTGTTTTCTCCGTAGGTCGCTTCTTTGTTAAGCTTCGCTAGTGCTTTCTCGGTGGACTTCAGTCTTTCTCCCATTGCCCTCGTTTTCTCTTGCTTTGTCGCCAACGCAGTCTCGAGCTCGGCGATTCTTATCAGCAGTTCACTCTGGGCAACCATCATTTTCTCCATTTTTTCGTCGACCTCACATTGCCTACACTTCGCGTCAGCCTCTTCTCCATCCACTTCTACGCTTGGGCCCACTTTCAAACCCACTCCACATCCTGAAAACTTGACAGTCCATTTAACCATGTCTTTCTGACACCACATGTCCCTATACTGGATAATTACTAAATTCGAGCCCTGCACTACAAAAAAAAGTCTAAGCTCTACTACACAAGTTTGTGTGTTCAATGTACGCGCACCTTCCCCACGGGGTGGCAAAAGAAAAAAACAACAACAAAAAACTTCAAACACACACACCCGCAATAACTATAAAATACTTGGTGACTGGCCCCCGAAAAAGCCGTACCAGAAAATAAGTGCTACGAAGATTTCAACCACTGCCTTATAATTATAAAGACAAGCTCAAAACATGCAAAAACACTTATCTGCGCAGTCGATTCGGAGCGCTCAAAAAACACGTCCATCCACCGTGACAGCTTGAACTACACTGGATGGATGGATGGATAGATGGATGGATGGATGAATGAATGAATGAATGAATGAATGAATGAATGAATGAATGGATGGATGGATGGATGGATGGATGGATGGATGGATGGATGGATGGATGGATGGATGGATGGATGGATGGATGGATGGATGGATGGATGAATGGATGGATGGGTGGGTGGATGGATGGATGGATGGATGGATGGATGGATGGATGGATGGATGGATGGATGGTGGATGGATGGATGGATGGATGGATGGATGGATGGATGGATGGATGGATGGATGGACGGACGGACGGACGGACGGACGGACGGACGGACGGACGGACGGACGGACGGATGGATGGATGGATGGATGGATGGATGGATATGGCTGTACCCTTTAGATCGGGCGGTGGCTAGCGCCACAAAGCAGTAATACTTAATGAACCAAAAACTATATTTATTTATTTTTCCTTAAAAAGTGAGTTTGAGGATTCGTACTCTGCAGTCAAGAGTTTAATTTTCACTCGTGCCTTGACTTTAGCCACCAATCAGATAACCTCCTTCTAGTTAAGTCTACCCGCTTAAAGTCTATTTTGCCCTCCCGTCTCCTAAACTCCACTTCTTTGAAAAACTCTGCGCCATCATCCTGAACTATAGGGTGAAGCCCTTTACAGAACATTATCAAGTGTTCGGCAGTTTCTTCTTCCTCTCAACACGCACTGCATACTGTGTCTACCCCTTCGTATTTGGCCTGAGATGTCTTGGTTCGCAGTACTCCCGTCCTTGCCTCAAACAGTAGAGAACTACCCCGAGTATTCTCATAGATCCTTTCCTTGGCAATTTCCTGCTTAAAAGTTCAATCGATCTCTAGTGCGGACTTCTTAACCATGCCCATTTTCCACATGTCAGTCTCCGTTTCCTTCACTTTCTCCTTAACCGATAGTTCTTTTTGGTTTGGCCACCTGCTGTTTTCTAAGTATTTACCAGTCAACTTCCTGGTTCACTTCCTCCATTTTGTATTGACATTCTTCATTTACAAGTAGCTGAAAACCTTCCTAGCACAACGCTCCTCCTTCATTTCTCTCAATCGCTTCTCAAATTTATCTTGCTGCTAGCTTCCCTGCCCTCAAATGATGTCCATCCCATATCACCTTGTACTCCCTGATTTGGTATATTCCCGGGAGCTCCTAAAGCAAGCCTACCTATTCCACGTTGCTTAATTTCTAATCTTGCTTGAACTTCTGATCTCATGCACAAGACCGCATTGCCGAGTGTCAGCCCAGGAACCATGACCCCTTTCCATACTCCTCTCACAACATCATACCTATTGTAATTCCACAGTGCCCTATTTTTCATCACTGCTGCATTCCTGTTACCTTTAGTCGTCACGTATATTTGGCGTTCCCTCAGGTACTCGGACCCATTGCTTATCCATATGCCCAGATATTTGTATTTATCTGTTATCTCTAGCGTGACCTTCTGTATCGTAAGCTCACTACCTTCGTTGTCATTGAAAATCATGACTGCTGATTTTTCCTTACTGAATCTAAAATCTAACCTATCTCCCTCATTGCCGCAGATGTCCATCAATCTCTGCAAATCTTCCTTGTTGTTGGCAATTAGCACTATATCATGTAAGTACATTAATGCTGGTAGTGCCTGCTCAATAAGTTTTTCTTGTTTGACTAAACAGAGGTTGAAGCCAAGTCCACTTCCCTCTGATTTTGCCTCTAATCCTTGTAGGTACATCATGAATAATAAGGCTGACAGGGGGCACCCCTGCTTAAGCCCCCGTTTTACCTCTGCAGGCTTGGATACCTGTTTTTCCCACTTTATAACTACCTTGTTACCTTTAGAGATACCCTTTAAAAGATTAGTGACTATATGTTCCACGCCTAGTGTGTCCAGTATTCCCCACAGTTCCTCTTGAACCACGCTATCTAATCTTGAACTTCGCTATCTATCTAACTACGCTATCTAACACTCTCACGGTAATTCAGCTCCGCCCCGCGGCCTCCACTAGCAGCACACAAAGTTTTCCCATGGAGTTTCGGCGAAGCTTCATGACCAGTAAAATTATTGAAGAACTCTGGTAGTACGTGCCGTCAGTAAACCAGAAATAAATGATTAGAAAGTAATAAGAATTGTCTGTAAAACAGAAGTATCTGCTTTACAGATACGAGAGCGCTGCTTTGGTAGAGCCGCAACACGCTTGCTTAAAGGAGGTATACATGGGCTGACGTGGGGACAACGGCTCACGTTGTTCTCGAAGAGTATTGCTAGCGTCCTTACAGTGCCAACTTTTAAAATTTTCAATTGCCGAACTTTATTATTGGTTCTGAAATACACGCACTATGATGCCCATTAAACAACACGGCTCCTGTTTTCTTTTTGAAGCTTAATACCAAACAGCTTGCAGCACTTCATGTACTGACTTTTTTTCATTGTTTTGTGGATCACTGATAGCAGGTGCTGTTTGTGACTGCTTTTAGGTAGGAGGTTTGCGTTATCTGCCTACAAAAATATAACTTAAATTGTTGCTAAGAGCTGAATATGATTTGTAAGATAACAATAATGGGCAGAGCATACTCTCATGAGGCGCTTCAGTGGTGATAGTCTGGCAAGTAGACACATGCTTTCCTATCGCCATACGTTAGCATCAATATTGTAAATAAGCTTTCAGGATGAACGTGGCGATTGCACGAATACCGTGCAATTAGCACTTTTCAAAAAATGTTTCATACTGACACCAACTTGGAAACCATGACTAGTGTCAACCATCGCAAGAAGCGCTGCTTCACCGCAGTCACCGATAAGGCAATCAAGTACTTATTCGATGGCTACCTCACGTAACGCTTGCGGATGCCGAAAAATACACTGTATTTCTAGTCTGACATTTCAAATCCGCGTTCACCTAACTCACAATTGTCAGTTTTTCAAAAGGCGTATTTCAAGCAACGAAAAATGGTGTACATCTCTATCGAAGGCTACAAGGTACATCGTACGTCTCCGGAGAAAGGTATATAACCCGAATAACTGAGCTGGAGTACTGTTTTATTGAATCATTCTCGTTTCAAACATTATATTGTTGTGAGACCTCTGTGAAAACGAAGTGAAGCAGGTCATCAGCGTTTGGCGCATACGTACTCAAGGTGACCCCTTTTGAGGATACTGGCTCGTCAATGGCAAACACGAGCGTGGGACAATCATGTGACTTTTGCACACAAAATTCCCCAAGCTGCAAGTGTAGCACTTCACTGAGGACCACACCCAAAGTGCCGTTGAGTTGTCAGCCTACCAAGAAAAATCTGTAAACACTGGTTCTGTGCTCGCGTCGGTGTTTGAGTGAATGGACTCTGAAAGGTTGGAATTTATTTTCTGGGCTCTAGCCTGTATATGCCTCGTGCCTTCTCTTTCCTCCTAGCAAAGGACGGGGCATCGTGCAAGTAAATGGAAAGGGCGCCTTGACGAAAGTCGGCTCGAGCACAAAGCCGCTCGTTATCAATTTTTTCACTGCCTACTCACAAGTTTCCTGTTGTTCCTCCACGGTTATTATCTTGGCGCACCGCGCGCTCACTCCACGAACACTCTGGTCGATGTTAATGTGCATATGTACGTATGTGCATTCGAATACACATCCGCAAGCACAACTGACACGTGAGCGAAATGCATTACTGCTCAATCTGGCCATTTCATGCCTAACTTAGAGAATACCTTCTGTGCATGCTCTTCTACTTTGCAGTCGGCTCATTCATTTGATCAAAACGCGTGCACACCATAACGTTGTATGAAGCACAAGTTGTCTCTGTTGCAGTTGAGTGAGCACCAGAGTGGCGATATCACTACACAGACAATTCCCTAGTACGCACGAAGTCTGCCATCACAATATGATCCCTCGGTTCGGCCACGTCGATAGCAGAAGTTGGCATATTGCGCACTCTCGCACGCTTCGCTACGAGCACGGTAGAAATGAGGTAGAAAGGTACGAAACAACACGCGTTCTCAGCACACGTTTCAAGGTTACACATGCAGCCGTCAGAAGGTGCAGTTATAAAGTGTAGTGCAATTCTTGTGGTTTCCAGAAAATTTCGTACACGACTGTGCGTTTGTATTGGAGTGTTCAAGTTTACGGTGACTTATGCCAAGCAGCAAATAGCACTGCTCCTCGTGTAGTGTATGGGCACTTTGCAAATGGAACTCACTCCTTTGGCAAGGTCTATTATCCTCGCTTCTACCCTGGAAAGCCTTGCTGACAGAGCACCAAGTCTACAAGTATAGTAAACGCAAAAGTTCACATTGCTGTTATGAATAATCTTGTAGACAACTCACACGCTCTCCAGGACGTCCCGGCGATCCATGTTCTCCAGGAGGACCCTGCGTGGATTTAGAAAAAAGACTTGTTAGGCAAAAGGTTCATGGAATATTTCCAATATCAATGCAAAATACTAAGGGTAGGGGCTCTTTTAGAAAAGCATTGATGATAAAGAAACAAAAGTAAATTACCACGTTGATGAATTTCACGAACCACGCACCTTATGCTTTGCTTGCACCTATATCATCATTTAGAGTGCTTAAATTTTTTATAAACATAGCTGATCCGCCGGTTTTCTGAGATCATGATTATGTCGTCATCAGCGGAGAACCTACCAAAGCAGATGGGTGCACGAATTATTTTCTGCGCGCAACCCGCAAGAAGCTAGAAACATGCTTAAGACATTTATGCTACCAATGGAAGTCGGGGTGATAATGACGAACAGCGCGTCTTTCAATTCTTTACAGTGGACATGTACCATATTTCTGAGCACGAGCAAGCAAGCCGAAAATAAACATGGTAGTTTGCTTGCCAGGCAAACATTTTTGCTCATCACGGTTTTATAGCATATATATAGCTCCTTTAGTCAAGGTTTGCCACGTTTTATATATAAAAATTGTTATATTCATCAACAAGCATGCACTCTGTTCGTCGTTTTTGTGTCTCGCGTTCTTTTTTTTTGCTTCTTTTACAGCAGAGCTTTTAGGGTTGAGGTTAAGCGTGTGTCGTAGGCAGAAAATTCGAAGTGTTGTCGTCATGAATCAGCATGTCTCGTCTTTTCTTGTCGCCAAGGAGATCTTGGCTCATACGCACATCGGGGATTAGAACAAAATTAGATAAGAACAATAATATAGTTCCTTTAAAAAAACGTGAAAAAGTGCAGAAGAATTCGATAAACCGGAATATATAAAACAAACTGACAAGAATGAGGAAAGGGGACAAACAATTGGATATATCTGGCAGTACCACTAGCAGCGTATTCTCCCGGTTGCCTGAATGAATTTATGTAGCGCTGACAGAATAGCACTGCGGCCCACACCCAACTGACTGGCTCCAAACGATAATAGGGTAGACGTATTGACTGGCAATCCGAGCATACCAATCGGTCTTTCAAGAATTATTCGGCGCAGTGAGGCGAAGCGGCGGCATGTGAGAAGAAAGTGATGTATTGTTTCCGGTTCATTGCAAACTGCAGATAGGTTAGTTAATGAAAAACCTGATTTGTTGAGATAAAAATTTAACCGAAGAACTGTACAGCGAAAGCTTATGAGGGTCACCTCACATTGACGGGAAAGGCATTTTGCGGTGTTCCATGTGAATTGCAAGTGCCGTAATTCTTCAGATTGTAGGAGCGACGTTTCGTTGATTTTTAAGGTTAACAAGAGCGTTTGAATCCTTCGGCAGTAATAAAAGGCAACTGTAGAGCTACTAGCACCACCGGGAAATTTAAAGATGCCGAAGCGAGCGAATTAGCGATTTCGTTTAGTACAATTCCAGCATGCCCGGGGACCCAAACAAACCGAACTTCTGACAGGCTATGCGGTACGAGAGACCAAAATATCCTGTGAAAAGGAGACTGCTTAGCGGACGTTAGATGTTTACATACAGACAAAGCATCCAAAATAATAATAGCTTTTGATTACTGATAACTTAGTTTTCGAAGAGCCAATGTAATAGCCAGGAATTCTGCGAGATAGATTGGTGTGAAGTCAGGAAATCGGAGCGCAAAAGACCAATTAAGCTGATGAGAAAAAAATTGCCCGCAGCTTCCCTCGGGGGAACACTGAGGAGGATGCGGAGCATATAATTGGTTAACGGGGTGTTAAAGTGCGACTTACTTGGGTCGAAGGCTAAAGTGGTTAACGTGGTTGTGAAATGGGGTGTTAAATTGCGACTTACTTGGGTCGATGGCTAAATTGGTTAACGTGGTTGTAGGAGGGGGTGTTAAATGAGTGAACACGTACACACGTATGCGAAAGGGCGGCGCTGGTCGAAGGAACGTCGATCATTGTGTTTGTGGATTCGTTGGAATTCATTTCACCGCGACCTTGGACGTCGACGCGCCGTACAAACCAACCGACGAGCGGAAACTGAGCGAGCGAGCGCCGACCTTGAGTATATATACAGCACGACGGCGCATGCACTGTCAGCTGTTGAATGTTCTCGAAGCGCGACGCCACATGCGCGTCCACTGGAGAATCAGGAGAATTGTAGATGTCGAACGCGGTGTGTAGAGGAGGAAGGGTGCACAGATGGTGGAGGAGTGAAGCGCGCGCGGTGTGTAGAGGAGGAAGGGATGCACAGATGGTGGAAGAGTGGGCGACGGCGCGACGGCGCATGCGCGCGCGTCAGCTGTCGAATGTTAGAGAAGCGGTGCGGACGGCGCCGACTGCGCACTACAAGGCGCGAGTATAAGATGCTTCCGCATCTAAAATACCTACTCCAGCCTTCTGAAGATTTTGCGTTGCATCCGCCGAAATTACTACGTATTTGGGAAAATGAGTGAGATGGTCTTGAAGGAGGCCCTCCAGAACATGCTTTGGAAGTAACTTGGCATTTTTCAGAAAAATATCATCGAAAATTAAGTCAACTGGCACCGAGCATTGGGTTTGGGGAGTTAAATGCTCGGTTTGGGGAGGAAACGTGAAGATTTGATAACAGAGACTCGACGAAAATGATTTGGGGTCTTTGATAACGAAACCACGGGCGCTGAAAGAAAGAAACTGGATGTTTGATGAAAACTGTCTGTGAACAGAAGAGGGGCGCATCGTAAAGTTTTAAAAATGTTTGCACAGTAAGTTGTCGAAATCTAGCATCAAGTGGAATGATTCTAGCTTCCAAATAAAGCACACTATTCGCGACACACCTAGGTAGTCCAAGACACAGCCGCAGACCTAGGCTTTCTAGCAATATAAGAAGTCTTAATTTGTACTCAGCACTTCCGGAAAACAGAACGCAACCAAACTCCAGAATCGGGTGTACGTAAAGCTTGTATATCATAAGTAACGTATCCCTGCGCATCCCCTAATTCTTATTGCAAAACCGGCGTAGCAATCTTAGGGCGCTTTCTGCTTTACGGGTGTTTGATTCTATTTGTTGCTGCCAATTTAAATTGTCTACGTAAACAATGCCACGATAATTCAGTGAAATAAATACGGGAACGGATAGAGGGAATATAAGCAGAGCACATTTGCTAACATTAAGTGAAAAAGACAGCCCGCCAAGCTACACCTCAAGCTCATTCAAATATGACTGTAAGATTTGATACAAACTATTGATATCTCGGAATGACGAGAAAAAAGCAATATCATCGGCGTTGAAGCAAAGAGGAACAATTTTATGAACGGGAATGGCAGATAATACTATATTAAATAAAAGAGGTGACAGGACTGATCCTTGCGGAACACCTCTTGTTTGCTTATATGAGGCAGAACTAATTACCTCGTGGCATCAAAAGAATTGTCTCTCAAAGAGAAACTCCTGAACCCAAAATATAATGTACTTGGGCACCTCACAGTCAACTAAGCTTGAAATTAAACTACTGTGTTCCACACTATCGTAGGCTTTTGCGATAGTGTGGACCATGTGTACTCTCTGACACTACTTTTGTTGCCTCATTTTCCCCAACACGTGCCCCGATTCTCCTGCTCGAGATACAATAATTCTGATAGCCGAAAGAAAGACTAGCGGGAGAAGGAAATAAAGGGAAAGAAAGATTCAGCATGACAGGTATTCTGGCTTGAGAAATCCTTGGTGAAGCAAGAATTTAACCTGCATCCGCACAATTGGAAGGCGAGCGCCGTTAGTACTCATTTCGCTGAGAACATAGCCGACCACAACATAGCGTTGCGCATTACACTGCAGCATATTAAAAGGGTGAGGAGGATGGATGGGCGATAGCAAGTTAAGAGGGTAAAACAAATACCAGGCTTGCGCGAAAGGCGCAGCACAGTCACAGCGAAAGCTATAAAAGCGCCTTTAACAGCATTTTTAAACACTTATTGCCTTACTGCTGCAAGCACACTTGCTTGATACCCACTATGACATTAATAATGAAAATTTTTGTGCAGTAGGCTGGCCCTCACTAGTCTATTTTGGTCATTATTCCTAAAGGCGTGGTATCCGCTAAACACTTGATTGATAATTGATGTGTGGGTTTTACCGTCCGAAAACCACCATATGAATATGAAAGATCCCATGGTGGAGGGCTCCGGAAATTTCGACCACCCAAATCTGAGCACATGGGCCTACAGCATTTCCGCCCCCATCGAAAACGCAGCCGCTGCCGACGCGATTCAATGCCGCGACCTGAGGGTCAGCAGCCGAGTACCTTAGCCACTAGACCACCACGGTGGGGCCCGCTAAACACTTGCAAGAACTTTTGTGCCAATTGTTCATGTAGTGGCTGGTGACAATAGGGAATCGTGCCTGAAGGGGGTATGCGCCACATTAAAGAGGTGAACAAGAACAAGCTTTTGTAATGGGTTGGAGCATTCGACGACCCATTCGATATGCTATTCACATTTTGCGAGAATTTGTTGTTCTTTTGCTGTTTTGAAACTCTTTATAAGTCGTATTAACGTGATTGCTTTCCCGACATCAAGGCTGCCTAATCCGTGTTTGGCAACAAGTCCCAAGCCCCGGCGTGGCTCAGTGGTATAATACTGGGATCGTACCCAGCGGACCCATGGTTGAGCCCCTCTGTGTCATTGGTACTTGGTTTTTTTTTCCTAATTTATTGTGTCGTGGTTAGGGACACCAGCGGCGGCGGCGGACAACTACGACAGCACGTCACCCGAGTTTTGACCTCATAGCAGTTGCACTTATACTTTTTTTGATGTTCCTGACATAGCCTTCGATATTCATTTTGGCTCGAGTAGAAGTGTAATCACGTTTGTAACGCCCAGGCATGATGCTGCCATCGGTGGCCAGAACGAGAAAAAGGAGTAACAAAATAGCGACACCTACAACGAATGCATCGAACAGAATTCGGTGAGCAGTGATGACAACGAATATTTATTCACAAATGTTGACAGGCATAAAGTGAAACGACGACCTCTGG